AGACGGGCTCGCGGACAGACCCATTTTAATAGTCCCCCGCCTTTCGAATAATCATATGTTGGCAACATTTACAAAATAAATATATATTAAACCATTATAATAGCTTCTGTTAGTCCTTTGTAAAGGCGTGACCAAAGATGAAGATACTTGAAAGGTCACCGAATCTATAACTATTATTGGTCGGCTATGCATTGATTGTTTACAATTTTCGTGTTATTTTTTAAAATTAAATATGAAACAAATTGTACTACAGGCCTTGCATTCTTGGTACTCTTTCACTATTAAATTGTAAATACAATATACCCAACAAACCTCAACAGATGTGTTTAATGATAATTACTCTAATTTCAAATCAGTTATGTTCGGTGAAATACTCCAGAAGTCTGAGAATGGCAATCTTTAGCGTCTGGTTATTCCAGTCTATTGCGCATGCCCTCCAGATAAGAATCTGACGTCACCGTTTGGTATGACTTGTGGAATATGTTCAGCCCCGTTCTTCGAGTCCTTTGTTACAAATGGCACTGAAACGCATTATGGTACACGATTCGTGTACCAATGGTAAAATAATAATTTTGTCTTAAATATTGAATATCGGAAGGACATCTGCCCCCCCCCCCCCGTCTCCCCCGGGCCCATTCACTTTATTTGATTTGATATTTGTTTTTTTAAAATGTCTATGTATTCTGTCTTGTCTGCAGGTTTTTTCTGTAGATTTTGTTTTGCGTGTAGTGCGACCTCCCTGCACTTACTATTAGGGAGATGAATTTATATAAGTGGCTTTTGTATCTTTACAAAGGGGGTTTCTCCGACTGCCTCCCATTTTTAGGATAATATCTAATTGTTCACGGGTTAATTCAAGTTTAAAGGTACTCAAATTGATTATTTAATATTTAACTAAGGAAGTCAAAATATCAACGGCATATTATAATCTCCCAGTTTGGATTTTAAACGGGTCCATTCAGAGATTTCCGGTTGTGCTGGTTTCTGTTGATCATAACCAATACTTTTTATTCAAGCCAAAATTAGGCTTATCAAATTACCAATGAGATTCTGACAAGACCATGACGTAGGATTTTCCAGAGGTCTAGCCACGCTGGCTAGATTTTGAAGGAGTGGGGTTGAGAGAATCCTACCCCACACAGAATGTCAAAAAAATATATTTTGAAATGTATAAAATAACGAGCGCCCCAGTAGAGCATATTATATCGTATTGTCTATATAGTTTTTCGCCGATCGTTATATCGCCGGAAAGCAGTTTTATTGAAGTTTATGCCCTAATTTACTCCAAACTCATGTTCCTGAAGCAACGACCGCCAGTTTTACAACATCTCTAGTCGTTGCTTCAATACTCAACAATTCCCGAATTTTTGCGCTCGTTGTTTTTACACGTGACTAATTAGCATTGTCCAATCAGAGGTCGTGGCACATAACACACTGTAAACAAATATGGCGGCCTCCATAGAAAAAGAAATAGACCTGGGGCCTGTTTCACAAAATTTTAACTAAGATAAAATCCAAATTTTAGTAATTTGATTGGATAATATTATATTGATTTTAGTGCTTAGCCAATCAAAATTTGGATTTTATCTTTAGTTAAGATTTCGAGAAACAGGGCCCTGTTTACAGCCTTTGTTGATCAACCATGATTTCCAGCAACCTTGACATTGATCGAACCTTGAATTTTGCAACTCGATTGTCACATGTAGACATTTTTTTTAACGAAGGAATCTGATAGGATCACAAGTTGGGCTTATACCCAATCGAAATTAGTGCTAAAATATGCGGGGTATTACGTGAAGGGCTTGATAAGATGTACGTAGTTAAGGCGAGATTAAGCCTTCTATTGAAGATGAGGTGTACGTAGTTAAGGCGAGATCAAGCCTTCTATTGAAGATGCTCTAAACTGAGCAATAGACAACACCGCTTAAACATACATTATTGCAAGTCTTAATTTAGGCTTCAGATGTTATAGAAATTATAAATTAGATCTTTATTTAAACAAGCCCAAAATCAACTCTGTAGACCCACGGATGGCTCGGCTACAGCTTGGATTTAAATAGGATTTCACTGATTGATTAAATCAAAAATGGTGCCCCATGCGGAGATTATTAACCGTTACGTTGACGTCATCAGTTAGATCGAGGCTAAATGATAAGAGTGTACGAAGCGAGGCCGCTGTTGAGCGATGCCGCATGTCAGTCAATTAGATTGAAAGTTCGATATATACGGCCTTGATATTATGTTCAGTTGTGGTTAAAATGAGAGTTTGTCACTTGCGTTTACAGAAAAATTACGGAAATTGATAAACATCGCAGGTAACATCACCCCAGTTGAATTGCAGTCCCATTGAATCACTGTAGTGTTTGCTATTTCAGTATTTGTCTGCTTCGGGAGTCACGTAGTCACGTTACAGTACAAGAGTACACGCAGGCTAACAAGAAGTCGGCTATAATTATGCCTCATTGATTTGGTCCATTCCTTTCACACTTTCGCTTCTTATCTATATAATAAAAGTCCTATTTTTAATTTGTAGTAAAAATAAATGTGATACGAATTGAACTGCAACCCCGTCTCAAGCCATTGAAAACGTTACTTGATAATCGAGATTATGTAGGTGGAGTTAACGCCTGTCAATCAAACGATCGGTCAAGGTGAAGATATATTTGACTACCATTTCTAGTCAAATATTACAACGATGAAACTTTGTTCAGAATAAAGTACTTTGACTGAAATTTTCAATATCTTCTTCTTTCATCGTCTACTTTTGAACTGTTACAGCAAGAATGGCCAACTCTCTATAAAAAAAAATCTTCCATAATGTATCTTTAATTTGCTGTTTCCTCCATTTGCATAAAAGCCATTGTAAAACAAAATATTTTTCTCATTCATAATTTAAGTTAATGTAAACAATCTACTGGTCACGACATAGACACAACCAATCTGATTTGGGCATAATAAAATGTTCCAGCAATCCGGAATTATCGTTTTTATATTATGTCGTCACCCGGTCCGTCGGTACATCAACAATTGACTTGTTAACGCGGTACAGTTTTTGTCGGATTCTTTTCAACCAATCGATTTTCAGCATTCCGTCAATTTTCGATCCGGAGTTATCCCACTTTGCCGAAAACTTTGTGAACGCGATAGAGGCTACAGTTTTTGACGGATGTTTCTCAAATTTGATGTGAATCACTGTGGTCGTGAGAGGACAAATCCTATCGATCGTCAGTGCACCATGACTTTCCGTTCCGGAGTTAACGCCCTTGTCGAAAATCTTGTGCACGATAAGTGTTGTAGTTTTTAATGGGTGATTTTCAAGTTCGGTGGGGAGCATTTAGGCCCATGAGAGGATGAACCGTATTGATATTCAGCGTTCTGCGACTTTCCGTCCATGAATCACCCACCCCTTGTGAACACGATAGCGGCTATAGTTTTTAACAGATTTTGTACAATTTGGTGTGAAGCATTGGGGTCATAAGAGGATGAACCCTATCAATATTCAGCGTTCTGCGACTTTCCGTTTCAGAGTTATGCGCCATTTTCCTAAAAACCTTGTGACCGCGATAAAAGATACACTTTCTGATGGATCTTTTCATACTTGGCTTGAAGAATTTGGGTCATCGATCCCTATCTATATTCATAATCTACAGCCTTCTGTTACTCGGCGGTTATCCCCCCACCCCTTGCCGAAAACCCCGTGAATGCGATAGAATGTATAGGTTTTAACAGATTATTTTTCAAATTGGTTGGAAGCAATAGGGCCATAAGAGAATGAACTCTAGAGATTATATTTCTTCAAGGATCCTGATCCTTATTAAATTTGCCCAACATCTAAGTTTTCCTTTCTGATAAGCTGTATTTAAGACAAAGATGAGGGCGTCTGTATTCTACGCTTTGCGTGGCTGTCTTTGTTTTTTCGAGCGAGCTTCTAAACGGGCCAGAGGTGTGTGTGTGTGTGTGTGTGTGTGATGAGTAACAATTGCCCTAGATATTCTCGGTCCAAGTAATGGCCTTCCAATTATGTTGCCAAATATACATCCATCTGCAACTAGGTTGTCCCAGCAGTTAATAACATTTGTCTCCATATTAGAATGTGCTGTTAATGATATACTGAAATTCAATAATACAGTCATTTGACTCAGTGGCGGACTGGTCAGGTTATCAGCTTGCGCAATGGCATTAGACATCAGACAATATATTTAAAATATATAAATCTAATTATATATTTTTGTTTCCACTTACATATTTTATGAAAATTTAATTTATTCATTTTAAAATTTTAAATGATAGAATTTGTATTGGTGGGTGGGCCCCCTTTGTCTCCTGGCAACCAATATTTTTAGACCCATTCCGCCACTGAAGGTGAACATGATGAGCAAGTTTTTCAAACAAGCGAATGCCAATCAAGATATGCCCACATTTTGCAAGAGGTGGACGGAGAACAGGGGATATCAATAAGACTCATCCTCTCGTTGTTCTAATTGAAGAAAAAAAATCAGTTAAGAACTGATTCAAGATTTACCTTTATAATTTAGTATGTAGGCCTATGCTGATAAAAGCTCAGTTTTAAAAATAGTGTCCTTAATTGTAAAACACTTAGCAAGGTGCTGGTTACCTCGCCATTTGCACCCTGGTCAATAACGCTCATAGTTTGCATAGGTCCCCCCAAACTAGGAATATGTGACCAATTTCAGGGCAAATCCATATAAGCGGATATTATTTATGGCAAAATTCAGTATGTAGAAGACCGGAAGTACCAATTGAATTTCTCTCCTTTAAATTGTATAAGCTTATACAGCTAAGAGGAGATCGTAGTAACAATGAGAAACATATATTTATTTAGTTCTACTGATTCTTATAAAATATACACTTCTACAGACTTTTTCATCGAGAAGAAGCATAGGTATCATTATATTCTACAGAGGAGTTTAAAATTGATCGTATATAAAACCCCTTCATTTGCGATATTATGCACTCCCCCCCCCCCAAAAAAAAAGAGAAAAAGTTCATTTAAGTGTCAGTAGAAACAATTTATCACCTAAAATCAAAACAAAAACCATACTAGGATGAATAGCACAAACTTTCTTAAACGTCATAACTGTTTAAACGTAAAACATTTACGTGAGATAGACGAAAACCCACAGCGCAATTTACTAGTATTATTTGCATACTGGCATTGTTTGTTGAGATCAACCCATTTCGGCCCAGGAACTATAATGTGATACACACGTGATGAAGATACTAGTCTTGGCCATAATGCTGCTGCAAGATTCTTTATGCAGGTACACTGTAGAACCGTTTAGACATAGCAACATGGATGAAATATAAGGCGTATTTTGAATCGACTATATCAACGATCGTGCTGATTCGACATGACAATAGATATAAAACAAAAATTGTTGAATACTGTAATTCCAAATCATGTAACATAAATGATTTGGTTAAACGAGATTTTATAGAAAAGACACGCCACAAACGACACTTTAACAAAAACTGACAGATAACATTGAAATTAGTAAACAAACCATCTTCGACTCAATATTACTAATCAAATAAAACACCAGATCAACCCAATTGAACAGTATATTCTGATCTAAATCTGTTTAGGTCCGTTATTAAGCATAATAATATAGTATCGGGAGTTAGAATATGTCGGTCAAATCAACTTTAATTACACATTAAATACAATATGGGCATTAACATTTATTTTAAGGAAATACAAATATAAGACAGATTTTAAGTTATGTCCGATTTCGATTTATCTGTTTTTTCTTCTAATGAAATGGTGGTTGTTTAAATTCTTCTTCACCAACGATTTCTTCATCAGAGTAGCCCCCACCTGTTGAGCTACGCCGCTGAAGCTTCAAGCGTTCCCGTACTCTCTGAAATACAACCAAAAGTAACACCTGAATGTCGCAATAACCAATAACAAGTATGATAGTAATATATATGGACCTAGACCCGTACATGACGTCATCGCCGCCATCTTGGAAATGTGACGCCATGTCAAAACTCGAAGTCATCGAAGCCCTTCAAACGATGCGATCGACATGGAACCTGCCATGCTTGTTCCCTGGACAATTACATGTATGTATCGTTTGAAGGGCTTCGATTATTTCGAGTTAGATATGTCATCATCTGTTATTCCCATTCAGTTACTAAAGGCCGCTTAAGCAGTTTATTCGTATTTGAATTGGCGGGGTTTTAGGCTAATTTTCGATCAGTTTCAGTTCCAAAAATGTTAAATAAAATGAGTTCCATAAATTACAGAAATCATACTGACATAAAGGGACAACACAAAATAACATTTCTTCAAAATGATATCCAAAATTCTAAGAGATAATTCAATTTCACAAACACAGTTGAGCTAACGTGTTTAGAAAAGCTTGTCAAATACTAGACACACCGCCTATATGACTTAGACTGGATAATTTTGTTTAATTTGATTTCGGTAGTTCAATTTTCTCTCATTTACATGAACTTAAGAGTTTATGTAACTTATTTTTTAAAATTTTAATTGTCTATAATTATTATCAATACAGTTTTTGTTTTAATAATGAAAATAGAAATGTTTATTGCCATTCCGTTATGTTTCCCTGTAAGTCCACTTTAATTTCTCTAACTTAAAAAAATACAACCCAATGAGTTTAGAACATGATTTCTGTAAAAATGGAACTTACATTCACATTTAACCAGTGAAGATTTGAAGTCGGGTAAGTTTCTTCTTTCTCAACAACCTCGCCTTTTCTCTCTCGGCATAAGACATCGATGTGTCTGTACTCTGTACCGCTTCAAATGCCCTTTCATCTATCTGCACTAATTTCCTATTGGTCTGAATAATAATAGATTACTAAAGTCAAGAATGAAAGACTATCAACAGAAGCCCTAGTTAACACTTGTTGACTATAAAGACAATCTGTTTAAAACACAGATCCTATATAATTTATAATTCAAAATTTGGTTTTACTTGTCTTTGAAATTATAAAAAAAAGAAACAAAATATAGATCTGCATTTCAAGCAGATTGCCACGCCAATGGGGGAGATCCTAACAAAAAGTCCTAGTGTTAGAGTTTTAACTTCGGCCCTTTAATCTGATGTTTAGGTTAGCAAAAAGATTACACTTTGAAAAATATTTTAAATTTCAAAATTGAAATTCATGTTCATTTTCAATAATTACCTCCTTTTTTGGCTTTACACTTTATTTGATGTCAGAAGTTATGAAAAGAATTACACTAGTGACACTAGTGCTACATTACATCATAAATATTTACTCCAACACTACTTTTGACCTCACCCATTGTCGTTATTTAAAGTTACAATTTCATATTTTCTAATTAAGTCAAAACATAATTATTTCTATGTCCTTTGCTCAATAAGTTTGTCAACTCACTATTATACGATCATAGGTTATCTTTCATACACTTAAAAATCTTCACACCGGAAATAATAACACAATTAGCTCCCAATTACCTCCCTTGTTTTCCTATTCCCCACCATGGAATAGCTATCTTCAAACGTTTGAATTTGAAGTTGTAAATGATATTTTTGCCAATTTCTCAACTGGCAATAGTGAATTATAGGATTAATAGGTCTATTCTTTAACAAGGTAGGACTGTTTATAAATACCATCTATTTTAGGGCTGTATTTTAATACATTTTAAAAATATAACTTAAAAATATGAAATTGTAACTTTAAAATGAGGGGTAGGGGTAGAAAACGGGTTCGTTTTTATCTAACACGAAAAGTTGTCAAAATGTTTTGCACACATTCTGAAAATACATAGTCCGACATTAGTGATCTCCTTTCTTTACTTAGTGAAATCAATTGAATGTTTTTTGTAATGGTGATCCTTAATTATTAGAATATAATTTCTAATTTGAACCGCAAAACAAATACTTCCCTTATTTCAAAGTTTAAAACGTGTTCTTTAGCTAGAACTTTAGACCATCAAAACAATAAATGTTTAAGAAAGAGAGAAACGGGCTGCCTGTAACGTCCACTCGACAAACACTAGGTGGTCATTTCGGAACTAAAATATGGTTCCATTTTTTATTCATTAATTCGCTTGCGCGTAACAGGCGCACGTGTTAGACCATTCGGTCACCCATAGTTTAAAATATGGACAAACTAAGAACTAAGGTATATGTTAGGGTTTGGGTAATACTGACGAGAACCTGGTGCGAAAAAGTGGTGTAGAAATGAAATGAAATGAAATGGGGTTTAACATCCTACTATTCTGCTCCGACTGGGCTAATGAAGACGGGCATACGCCATACATTGTGCTATGAGGGAAATTATGCCCCGACAGCGGCACTATCAAATTCCAACTATCAAGGGTTCTTTTACGTGCACGCCAATGTGTACACCCGAACGACTAAACGTTGTCCCTTGCCAGGCCCCCCGTCCTGCATCAGTGACAAGCAGGAAACACACCGGAAAAAATCAAACACGGGACTTCGAGATTAGCGAGCCAACCTCTTAGGCTCCGAGCCACCACGGCTCCAAAAAGTGGTGTAGATATAGGTTCACATTTAACACAACCTTTATATTCTGGCATGCCAGGGCTTTAAATTTACACCCATTAAAGACGCATTACATTAAGAGCTAAATTTGCCTTTTTCTGACTTCAAATGTTATATAAATTATTATTTAGACATTATTCACATGACAAGCCCAAAATCAATACTTTGACCATCGGGTGGCTGAGTTATCAAGTGGATTAAACGATGTCTGCCATATCTTCGTTAAGCGTTCAAATGGAAAATATTTAGCGACTTCGTTTATTACTGTAGCAGGGGGACTTGACAATCAAGCCTATTTACGCTATTTCTGGTCAAAACTTCAAACATTCATAATTTCACTTTGAATACTACTGTACATAGGCGTAGGAGCCGGGGGGGGGGGGGGCATTTACCCCCCAAAAAATTTATTTTCGGGCAATGAAAAATTCGACTACCTTTTTTTTCTATTAACGTTTAGAGAAAAAATATAATTAACTTATTTCTATGAGATCCACACTGCCCGAAAAGTATTTTCTCGTCTTTTTCTTGTCCACTGCATATGCCCGAAAATATGCCCGAAGCTCTCTTATGATAGGTATGCCCGAAAAAACGGTATTGCCCGAAAATAGGTATTGCCCGAAAAACGGGCATCGGGCCGGAAAGCGGCAGAGGAAACTAGCAGTAAAACGCGTTTTCTTGGCGGGTCATTCGCCTCTCAAAGAAAACCGGCGCCGCTGTCTATAAATCCGAAATTTTTCGAAATATCGGGAAAACGCGTTTGCGGCAGTTAAATTTTCAAAATTTACTCCTAACGGTCCCGTCTTCGAGGACTGTAAACGATTGATTGGAATTCCGAGTCAGCCACCTTAATTAGGCTATATTAAACCACTTTGAAGTTGCTTTGTTCAACGGCTGCAATAGCAGGAAAACGTGTTTGCAGCCGTCAAATATTCCAAAATTGTCTTGGGGGGGGGGGGGGGTATACAAGGTCGCTGCTGTCTGTAAACCCGAAATTTTTTCGGGCATTTCGGGTTCTGCCCCCCTAACTGTCATCGAGCCCCTACGCCTATGATACTGTATAGTAAACTGACTGATTTTTCTTCTTCTATTTTTTAACTATTCTAGCTAAAACGACCAACCCTTTATCTAAATCTTATAATGCATCTATAATGACTTGATTTTTAATAGTGTAATGCCGTAACAAATATTAGTCTTACCGCATCCTGCGTGAATTTAGTGGGTTCATAAATTTTGACGGTTCCTTTAACATCTTCAGTTAATGAGTATCCACTTTTATGACCATAATTCTTCATGAACAGCGTCTTTTCTACATGTTCATCGGAGGAGATGGGTGTTGGTTCCTTTTGCACAGGCGAGGTATCTGTTTTACCATTTAATGAACTAGTTACATCCTTTGATGCATAAGTTACATCCTTTGATGCATTAGTTACATCCTTTGAAGCACTAGTTACATCCTTTGATGCATCCTTTGATGCACTAGTTACATCCTTTGGTTTTTCAGTTGTGTCGCTGCGTCTGCCAAAATTTACTTTGTGCTCTGCAGATTTTGTAATAATACGACCGTCACTGGGAACGGCTCTTTCAAAAGTGGTTATGGACCCGTCACTCGACCCAGGATAAAGTCCAGTTTTATATAGTAGCCTAGTTTGTGTTTGTACTGGGCTACTAGCTCTGAGAGATTCTGTTTTTACTTTATTGGATCGAGGAGGAGCTGGTGAAACTGGTTGTTGCGGAATGGCCGCTGTTAAACCCGAAACCGCTACTGCGCCAATTTCAGTTTGACCCTTAGAAAAGAGAATAATTCAATTTACGACATGTAATTATAATTAAATTTACTGTAAAATTTGTATTTATTCCAACTGCAAGGGAGAATCCAGATGGGTGGATAAGATCTCAGCCTAAAGAATTTTGTCATAACGAAATATTTAATATGTCAATGAGTTTTTGTTTCATCCAAAGACTGGATACGAACATGTAATGGGCGGGGAAAATATGGATTCCAAAAGAGAATCAACGCTGTGTTTATGCGTGAGGGTACCTGCATAGAAATGAATTACTGGTCTCTTTGATTATCAAGATAAACGTAAACAAAAATGGTTGAAAAAAAATGTCAGATTATTGCACGTCCAGAACTCATGGAGAGATCATTATCGTACAGACTGGATAACCTGATATAATACGTTACGGTCTGTATTCAAAGTTAAGTAAAATATACATAATTTTTCCACTTAACTTAGTGTGTTGCCTTAAATCGGTATTCAAAGTTTATGTTTTACATAATTGTGAAAAACTTAACTGCACACCTAGTCTATGGAATGCCCGCAGCCGTCAAAAAGCGTGAATTTAAAATTTAGGGAATGACGTCAACAGCCAAAAATCACGAATTTCTAACGTCGAAGGCAAGTTATGTCCCCTTGGAGGTATCATTGCTCTATTAAAATCAAGCTATTTGTCGAAATATTATATTGTAACATATTATGACTATATAAATGGTAGTACAAATCCTTTGGGAGAGTTTTCTTTTTATTTTCAATTTTAATAGATTTCAATTACAGTTATTGAATCGTGGTAGTATATTGTCAAATATTGTAAACATTATTATTTTAAAGGACAACATTGGTGTCAGACATTATATGTGATATAACTGGTTAAACACGTTCCAAATATAATTTTAACACTTAAGTAAGATTTCCATTGAATACGGACCTCAGACGTTTGATAGCTCCTCCGTCAGTCCTTTCTTCGAGCAGGTTATCCAGTCTAATTATCGTACTATCTTAGTTTTACCCTTATACAGACGTAATGTTTGTGAGTTTATAATATGCGACGATTATCGATAAACCATTATATATATAACACATAGATGTATAAAAGTACCTACCATATTTACGAGATTAGCTTTAGGCATGTTGAAATTGGTAATTACCACTGACTTATCTTTTTGTTCTTTTTGTTCATCGTCAACTGATCGACGTTTATATTCCGTTTGTACCTTGCCCTTCATTTTGCTATAAACAGAAAGGTTTGGTTGTAAAAATATTAAAAAAAATCTTCAAAACCCTCCCACCTAAAATTAATTGATTTAAAAGGGCTCGACCCCCGTATGACCTCTTTGATTTGGACAGAAATAATCTGTCGATATTGATTTTATGTGTTGATTTGATTTATGGGATGACAATCTGTCGTTGCAAAAATTCTGACGATTGAGTTTATGTGCTAATTGTTATGTTGGGTGACAATCTGTCGTTGCAAATTGTACGTCCATGTATCAGGGGCGGATCCAGAGAGGGGGTTGGGGGGGTCGAAACCTACCCCCCCCCCCCCCGCTCAGCTACATAATTTTTTTTGTCAATAAACACTTTTTATGCGAAAAGTTTCTCGGTCGTGTGCTTCATCCTTTATCGTCAGACGTGGGACAGGGTGGACACTCAGAGCACGAGATAATGATATAGACATTATTTGATGTCACAATTAATGCTTTGCATCATAATGCTTTGCATCCATGAAATTGAATCACAATAACTGGTGTTAAAAAAATCTTAGTTCAAGTCGTTTATTACAACACTGGTGTAAAAGAGCAGACGACAAGAAGAGAATTTCTTTTACGGTTCTTAGATTTAGTTTTAAGGCTTAAAATGATTTTTTTTATCCATATACAGCCAAAACGTGTAAGACAAAGAATATGTTGATCGCAGACCTGCTAATTTACGAGAAATTTGAGGAAATTTCGACTGAATAATAATCAAATGAGACTACAAAAATTCAAAATAGATTCTAGTTACTTAACTTCCTGGAAGCGGTTAGTTTCCCCCAATTACCTTTCTTTTGGTGTTTTGTTTTAGTTGGCCAGCTCATGCAAAGAATTGAATGCGTTAAAACAGAACACAAAAACAAAGTGTAACATTTAAAAATAACACTATAGTTTTATATTTTTCCCCTACCTGGTATTAAACTAGTTTAGACACTGGTGTAAACACTGGTGCTAAATCGAGAGGCTCAGGTTAAGGCACTAAAAAGAACACCAGTTATACACCACTAGAACACAACCTTAACACAGGCGTAACCCGGGACTTGAATTGACCCACTGTATTAATTCATAATAAAAATTGACGTCAAACGAGGTGTTGAATTTCTCTGTTTACAAAGCTCAATGTGTATGTATATACGCCAAAATAACGATATAGACCATGCGGGAGGGGGGGGGGTACATTGTCTCAGGAACCTGGCAACCCTCCCCCCCCCCTGCAAAAATTTCTGGATCCGCCCCTGTGTATACATATCTCCCTACGATAAATATGATATATACACAGAGAAAAAAGTGTCGCAACTTCCCTTATTTAATATAGTGCTAGTTTTTGATATGATAGCTATTTCATTTTACGTTCTGGAAGCTATTCAATCTTCCTTAACTGCCACGAGGAAACACAGAACCAGCCATGACGCCATGTTCTAATCATGGCGTGTTCGGCACCATGCTCTTGCAGCCTTATGATTACGCGACAAGAGCGGTCGTCTGACTGATCTCTAAGCGCCTTATCCAGTTGATTTGAGCCGATTACGAACAGTTTTGTAGGATAGGGGCTGTGACGTAACCATTTCCGTTTTAAAATAGTTCTTGGTGCAAAGAGATGACGTAGCACGAGTCTCGATAGTGCTGTATCTCCTCTTGCAGACGTTCTGAGAAGTCTAAAAGAAGGTTCAAGGTCTTTTAAGTCATATTTCCGTTGATGTTTTCGCAATAATCGACTAATGGTCGAGGGATGGTGACCCAACTGTCGTCCAATCTGTCTCATTGGCATCCCAGCCTTTCTCATGCCAATATCTTGCCATTTTTAAGCTGTAGTGAGTTGTTGAGGTCCCATTGTAAAATACAGACAATGAACTCAGTGCAATGGCTGGTTTCCCAAACATGCTTTTCATGACGGGAGGGTTTCATGATTTCCATGCACCGTAGGTCTGTTAGGTGCTGCACAGGCAGCTTTACTGGTATGTACAGGGGACAGAAGATATCTAAATTTACTCACAGTGTTCACTTTTAAAAAATTTATAGCTGTCTTATTAGAAATTTTTTAATCGATTACTGAATATCATAACCGTTTTTTTTAATATTTTAATACAACAATAGTGTTTATTTACTTACTTCCATATATTGTTATTTATATAGTAACTATGAACATCTAAATCACCCTTGTTAGGTTTATTGAGAGAATTTCTTTTATTCTGTGTCTGAAAAAGAAATCGAAATTTAGACCGCGGTGTGGTGTCGTGGAATCTGCATGAAACAGCTAAATGTCTACACTTGAAAACACATAAATTTCTTTGTTATTCAACTTTTCTGTAGTTGGGGCAAAACAGTTGAAATACCTATGTTTCGAAGTACAAGACGTAAGGGTCATGTGCTGTCTATAATTAAGCCAAGCGCAGTTTAATAATAGACCACCTGTCAAATGACTTTTAGTGGTTCGTGTGGTTACATTATGGTAATTATGCACATACATGAGTGCTTGTAAAGGATACAAGTGCACCCGGATTTCTAAACCCGGATTTTATGATAAGTTTTTTATTCGATTGCTAAGTGGGTAAGACGCTGACTTGCTAGCCAGGGCGACCTTCGGTTATCGTGATTTCTTGACTATGGTCGAACTAACTGAATCCGAATTTCATTTAGTCCGGACCATAGTCCGAAAATACTGAACCATGCTATTGTGGCATGGTCGGAGTAGTTTCAAGATGGCGGGTGTCGATGAAACGTAAGTGTGGAATATTTAGAAAGAATCTATGTTTGTTTAGTATATGATTTTAGGAAAGCTTGAAAGAATTTGAAATGGTTGCGACTTCTATGAGCTGATAATTTGTTGTCTCGTATGTAGTCTAAAAAAATACGCATTATTTCAATATTTATGTAGGCCTAATGCAAAAATGTGAAGTCAAATTACAAAGAATTTGAGCCGCGCAAGTTTAATTTCATGAAAGCATTATTGTTTAACAATATAACATCATATAGCATAGCGATTCATTATCCTCCGTGGAGAGATTATAGACCTTCCTTGGGCTTAAGGGTGTTTTTTAGGGTTATGGTCGAGGTCTAAAGCAGACTAAATTGACATTACCATGTCCATGGGAACAGCCATCTTTTAACAGACGATTGTCCGGACCATTCGCGTTCGGTTCCTTGTTCCGACCACTAGTCACGAAAAAATTATAACCGAAGGTCGCCCTGGAGGTCGGTTGTTCGATCCCTGCATCGGCCGATAAAGTTCATCTAGATTTTTCCGGCGTGGTCTCCCCTTGTCAGGACGGAGGGCCTAAAAGGACAGCTGTCTAGTCGTTCGGATGGGACGAAAAACCGAGGCCCAGTGTACACATTGGCGTGCACGTAAAAGATCCCTTGACAGTTGGAATTCGATATAAGATTAGGGCGTAGCGCCGCTGCCCGGGCAAAATTTCTCTCATAGCACACTGTATGGCGTATGCCCGTCTTCATTAGCCCAGTTTAGGAGAAGAACAGTAGGACGTTAAACCCCATTTCATTTCATTTCATTTATGTCTATGATGGCGTTGTTTCAGTATAACGTAGAAATCTAGCTAGATTTGAACTTCACCAATTTCAATAAATTAGGACCACGTTCATGATTCTGAGTGCTTGTAAAGGATAAAAGTGCACCCGGATTTTATGAGAAGTTTTTTATTCGACTAAAATCATTCATGCAGTAATTTCTACACATACTTCCGTGATGGCGTTATTTCAGTATGACGTAGAAATCTAGTTATCTGACACAGTAAACTTCGTAGGTTCCATCCCATGCAATATTTTCAGAATGTAACCGTATATATAATAGGTAGGTCACAATTCTATGGAATACAATTACTGCTTATTGTTTGATAAAGACAAGCGAAGACTATTCGACACGTCACTCAGTAATGAGATGCAGTAATTGTAATCCATTGAACTATGACCTGTGTATATCCAGTTAAATTATTAAATTCCATTGAAACAACGTATAATCTTACCATTGCAAATAACACCATAACTACAACCAGCATAATAAAAACGATAATACATCCAAATATTGTATATTTCAACCGCATGTCGTCTGCCCAGATTTCCCGAATTGACTTTGGTGTCTGAAATCAGAGTGGGTTTTGTTTAATATTTTTAATTCACTGAGGTTATAATAAAATCTTCATTTCCAAATAAAATAAACGTGGATCTAAAATGAGATGTCAATTCAATTTCTATTATTTTGGGAGTCGCGGTGGCACGCTAATCGTGGAGGTCCCGATTATGATACTGATGTTGGTCGAGAACGTTACTCGGTATTGTTTTGGGTGACCTTTCCTTTTCTGTGGTGCAGGGCGGTTGGCTGGCAAGGAACATCAAGAACTCCGGTAACAAACTTCAGATCTGAAAGCCTATACCATAACTTACACTGTGAATATTATTTGACCTTACATTTCAGTTGCAGTTATTTTGCGAAATTTTTGAATACCAATATTACATATTAATGCAATAATAAAACCTGTACCATAACTTCCACAATGAATATTATTTGGTTTATTCTATATATTATAGCCATTTTTACATTTCAGTGTCAGTTATTCCGCGAAATTATTGAATATCCACGATAATGCTATCATAAAGTCAACTATGAGCCCTGTCTCGAGGATGTCCGCTGGCTTTATAGATCACAATAATAGTAAGCTTATTGTTTCGTATGAAACCTTCCTTTAAATTTGGGATGCCTTGTAAGCGGAAGGCGGAACAATGAATGTCAACAATAGCACCCAGAATAAATTAAACAAATCATTTAAAACGAAAACTTACTGTAAGTGTGCTTGCCTTCGGTGTCACTTGGTCTTCTATAAAATGTTTCCATCCACCTGAAAATAAATAAATATTAAGCTTAATACATAAAATACCTGATTAATAAAATATAGTTGTTTTAAAGAAAATCGCTGTTACTTGGTCTTCTATAAAAAAAATTTCCCCAATCACCTTAAAGACCACATAAGATGGCCATTTTTTTTTCTACGTGTAGCCAATGATTACTACATCCATTTTACGGCAAGTTCACACCAATCTGATTAAAATTAATTCAGCTATTAACGTTTAAGTATCCGACAGCCAAAAACGGTTTTCAAATTTTCATTAACGACCTTAATCCGGTTGATTGGCTAGTGACGTCACAGGCACTACACATGAGATATACATTATCTACACAATATCTCACTGTGTGTACAATATATCACTGTATAAACACACCACCAGTTGACAAGTGTGTATTTGTCGGCCCAATTAACATTGGACTGGCGTAATCATTTACTCGTAATTATGTAAGGGGTTGGGATGGCCTGGTGGTCTAGAGTGTCACGCTTCGACCTCTAGCTGGCCGGTCACCTCTGGCTTGCGGCTGTGGTTTCAATCCCTGGTGTGAGCGTATGTGGCATGGAGATAGGGGCGCCTTCTCAACGTTTACTCCGGGTACTCCGGTTTCCTCCCACACGAAAGACCCCTGCGCGTGCGCTAAGATCATGAAAATTAAAAAAAAGACAACTTGTCTGCGATATCACCTTCGGTGGAAGCGGACGTTAAACACTAACAACAACAACTTAAGCCGACGGCCTCCACCTAAACACTAAAACGATGACATCTACCAATCCAGAAGCAGACGTAATCATCTACCAAACGATATGTTTTATATTAAATAAAGGGAAAAATGGCCAAATGGAAAGATTGCAAAATCATATTCTAAAAAACAGGAATCAGCTTCGGCTCTTCTATGTATTGTCTCCGATATCACTTATGTGGAAGCAGACGATAAACACCAAGAACGAACGACGAACTTAAGCCGACCTTTCTCGTTTTGAATTGTAATAAATTAGTTATTTGTGCCTAGAATATTTCGAAGTGTATTTTAAGATGCCGCATTACCGTTGTGTTATTGAGAGTTGTGGAAATTCCAGCAAAGAAAAGGGACATAATGTACCGGCGTTTCATAAATTTCCCAAGGATGGAATATTACGGAAAGAGTGGATTGCGTTTGTAAATAATTCAAATCCTGATTGGCAACCTACAGTCACAACAGTGTTATGCAGTGAACATTTTGCGAACGATTGCTATGGGCTGCGGCCTAACCTAATTGAAGTTTTTGGAATACGCAAACAGAGAAAAAAAATTTTCCCGGGTTCCATTCCTACAATCGCTAAAAGAACTACTGCTACAGGATAACTCTAAATATTCTGCCTCCATTCTCTCGGTGAATGATAAAATAACCAATAACACAAATGTTGATGATCTAAGTTCATATGATTACTACTTGAAACCATTTCGTTTCTTAAAAGCCGAAAATTAATTATTTCTATGTCCCTCGCGCCGGCTACAATTTTACACCAATCTTGTTTCAATCAGAAGCCAATTATTGTTGGTTTACCGTCGGCTTATTCTGATTAAAAAGAGAATATGATTACAGCAACTAGCTTTATAAAACAAATTCTAAATTACAAAACAAATTATTCCGCAGTCAGTTGTTTTATTTAATTAGGGGATCAAGGAATCAGTCATGCGTTACTGAATACACACACCGGCTGTATATAGGTAATTAAGGAATAAACATTCCGAATATGCATTCGGTCACTGTGACGTCACTGGCGTCTGAGGGGATTAAGAGTGTTTTCGATAATTGGCAAAGTCGTTTTCACGGGAGGTCCATTTTTACGACTTTGAGTGAAGATAACTGAATTAATTTCAATCAGATTGGTGTGAACTTGCCGTAAAGTTGATATTGTAACCATTGGCTACACATATCCAAAAGTTTCCAAACCCATCTTATGTGCACTTTAAAGTATATATTATAAACAGTAAGCGTAATAACCAAAAAAAATAATAAATACCTACTTAATAAAACAACATTGTTAACATGATTTTAACAAGAAAATTCCCTGTAACCACTCCACTTGATAAATTAATATTATAAAAATTTACGCCTATTCAAAATCATCTAAACCCAAAAGAAAATCCGCTGTTACTTGATCTTCTATAAAAAAAATTTCCCCAATCACCTTAAAGTATATATTATAAACAGTAAGCGTAATAACAAACAAAAATAATAAATACCTACTTAATAAAACAACATTGTTAACATGATTTTAACAAGAAAATTCCCTGTAACCACTCCACTTGATAAATTAATATTATAAAAATTTACGCCTATTCAAAATCATCTAAACCCAAAAGAAAATTAAAACACAAAGGGTAACAAGGCTGACTGGATGAGGGGTTCGATACAATCAACACATAGTCGGATAGTAATTCACTAGGTTTTCAAAACATAATATGAATTGACTTTTTGTTAACAGCCTGGGCCAAAAAGTTACAATTTAAAAATGTCTTATTTACATAATACGACAAAATAATGTCAATTAAGCGGATGTCCGGAGACTGATATTACCCGTGAAGGGACCCCAGACAGCAGTGTTTCATAAAGGCCCTTCTATACCATTTGTCTTGTATGGTCTTGACACCCTCTGGCAGTCTGTTTCACAGAGATCTTCTAATATCTCTGTAACAGATGACTGTTTCGACACGTGACGTCACATCACGCGGCGTCAATCATTGGCTCAATAGCGCGTGAATTGTTTACATAAGACGTAACTGATTCGGGCTAAATGGTGAATTTTACCTATTTTAATACCCATTTACACTAAATAGGAAATGATTTTTACCTACAAATAATTCAAACGTCTTTATTTATTTTTCTAATAAATGAAAAAAATGTTTTAGAATTTAATTTGAAGAAAAAAGTTAATATTTGGGACTAATTAAGTCGCATCGATGTCATCCTTATTAGTGATTGTAGCGGCCTAGTGAAAATTCACTGCTGATCAGTGTGACACTCTGGCTCTTGTGACATGTCACAGCTAATATACTTATCCTACTACCTTATGCACAAATTTAGCTTGTGACAATCTAAAAAATTCATAAACAAAGATGTAAATTCAAGATTAAACAGATCCCAAAACTACGTGATAAGATTAACTACATTAAGAGCTCCCGAACCTAACAAATTCGCCCCCGAGTACCACCACATTAGAAATTGCCGAACTGAAGATGACCGTTTTTGGGGTTTTTTTTAAAAGGTTAGGGTTAATAAAATAATTAAAAAAACAAACCATAATCAATCGAGAATTCAAATATTCAAAATATAAAATGAAATGGGCTTAACGTCCGACTTGGGCTAACGAAGACGGGTATACGTCACCATGTAGTGTGCTGGGGGAGTAATTTGGACCGGGCAGTGGCGCTACGGCGGCTCTTATTTCGAATTTTAACTGTTTAGGGCTCGTTAACGTTCACGTCAGCGTTTACACGGTACCTCCTTGCAAGCACCACTGCAATGGGGAAACATACGGCTATTAGCACACTATCGAAACAGTTTACCGAAATTGTCGGTAGAATATAATATTATATAATGTTCCTGTCACAATTATAACAGTTAGCAGGATTCCCAGCTTCGTCCGGGTCCCAAATTCGCCAAGGGTCCAATTCGTCCGGGGACCAAATTCGCCCAGGGACCAAATTCGATGGGCTTAAACATTCACGGGGTGATGGCGTTGAATTTGATACCACGTGGGGGTGGAGCGCGGCGATGAAGCGTGATTCGCTCGGGGCCTAAATTTGATGGCCTTACAATTCTTTGGGTAACGTTGGTTAATTTGATACCACATTATGTGGCAGTGGATCGCGACGCAAACACACGTGCAGATATCTTTGATTTTATTTATAAAGACATGTATGTTGTTTTTAACGCCCCAATCCCCCCTTCACAAAAACACACACACACACACAATTAAAATCAGCGGGGGGTCCAGGTGGGGACGTGTAACTCGAGCATGGTTGGGGTGAATGTTATATTCGGGTCTAGTTATTGGCCACAAATCACAATTACACCCCGATTTTTCAAACTTTACCCGGAGAACCTCCGGCCACCTCTAATAAAATATCCAGCGCCCACCACCGATTAAAATAAATAAATGGATCACGTACTTGGCTCAATTTCAATATGGTATGGAGCTTTATTAGTATTCTCTTGTTTAGTAGAAATTTTTTCGGATTCTGAATTGGATGCATGGCCTTTAAAAAACTTCCACAAAGGTTCAAACGCTGCTTCTAGACGATTTTTGGATGTCTTCCCTAATGGTGTGGTGGTTGTAATAGTCGGTTCTGAATCCTTTGAAGGGTCTGACTTCGATCTATGGCTTTTAAAAAACTCCCACAAAGGATGAAAAGCCGCTGCCAGAACATTTTTGGGCGTCGTTACTGGTGTGGCGATAGTAGTCGTCCTTGGCAAAGTAGTTGTAGGCACACCCCGCATTTTGTCAATGGCATCACGAGTGTTCATAAGCACAGCGCTTACATATTTTAACCGTTTTTCAGGATCACGGATTTTATACACTTTCTGCACTAGGCCTTCAAGGTGCTTATTCAAATTGTCTTGAAGATCGGCTCTACGAACGTCGAAAAATTTACCCGCTATCTCAACCAAATTTTCGTCGGGTGCAGGCGCAGACTGTCTATAGCCTGAAATAATAATAAGCCAAATGGTATACGCAACGTCTTCTACTTCACAATGGGGAATATTTAATACTGGGGCCTGTTTCACGAAATTTTAACTAAGATAAAATCCAAATTTTAGTAATTTGATTGGATAATACTAGATTGATTTTAGTGCTTAGCCAATCAAAATTGAAGTATCTACTAAAATTTGGATTTTATCTTTAGTTAAAATTTCGTGAAACAGGGCCCTGGTTTATAGATTTTAAAGCGCTCTAAACACCCTACCTCTTTCATTCTAAGACGAAATGTTATTATTTCTTCCAATTTCATAAACCTAAACATTCTATATTAACACCGGGGAACGAAAAAAAAACAACAAAAAAAAAACATGTTTCTCGCTACACAGCAACACAGATTACAGTATCTGTGAAGCGACAAACTTGGATTCGAAAACGGACATTGTAGTCGTGTGTATAGGGAATTTCGTACGAGTAATGTTAAACTTAACCGGGAATGAAACATGAAATCGTTTCTGGCCATCGTTAACAAATTAGAAAATCAAATATATACAGCTACCTAATTCGGTACTGAAGTTATCATTAGTGCCACTAAATTTGATTAATTATTAGTGAGTTAACCCCCATTTCCTCCCTGGTTGATATCGCAGACAAACCTTTATTTAGTATATTGGAGGGGACACAAACATACCCGGAGAAAATCCACAAGGTGTGGCGGGCGACACTACTCTTGTCATGTACTTGATTCAATGACAGGCCTTATGGTCTAAAGCTCACACGTCAGACCACTAGACCACCCAACCCAACATAAATAAAATATATTATTAGATTACTTATTTTCTTGTTAAAAAAGTGATAATACCACTTTCAAACTCATATTCCACTTGAATGGTGGTTGTATTATCAGCATTAATTACAATTGAGTAAACAGAAGGGATTTTGCGCAACCTGCTGAGACGTTGCCCTTATATAGGTCTCTTGCTCTTATATAGGTCTCGAATCTTCCATAATAGTTTTACTTACCACAAGCCACCGAAACTTCAGTTGAACATTCTATTGGTGCAAAAACTATTAAATCTGGATTAACATGGTGATTAGTTAAATACAATAACTCACAATCACAATTTAACTCACTTCTTATATCTCTGAAAAATAACCACACAATTCTTTTATTTTCAGGACATAATTATAAAATAATTGGGTCAATTTAATTTGGGTCAAAATAGAATAAAATGATCGATTCCAGTGAACTTAATATGTTGATTTGTTTTGTGGGTTAACAATCTGTCTTCACTAAAAACTATACTTCTAGTCGCCAGTAACCTTATGTCGTGTTGGACTGCAGTCGACAGAGAAAAAAAATACAACCAGTTTTAACAAGCTGTCTTCTTTACAATTATCTTTGGAAACAAAAAATAAATTAATCCCCATAAAAGTACTTAGGTCAAACCCCAATGGCCACATTTTGTCATGCTGAGCCCCCCCCCCCCCTTCCTACCCCAACTCGCCCCTCCCCGGCCATATAGGAATTTTAATTCGACTGGTGTGTAGCATAACTCATACCTAGCACAACAAGAAAAAAAACCACAAACAAATTAGATCAACCCGTTTAAAAACTTTCGTCTTCAGTCGGTGTAGAAATGTGGGACGTTAATTCATTCCATTTACAACTCATTTATATTCATGCCATGCTACCCCCCCCCCCCCGCCCATTGTTTATTGGTACTGGGTATTGATTCCCAAACAAAATATTTAACTTACAAAATTGCTACGTTTGGTAAATCGTTGATGCACATATATAATTCGGGTAAATCGCCATTATTAATATCCTTACACGTTAAGGTGTCACCGTCACCTAAACATCCATTTGGGCATGATGTCACAGCTACCTGGTCCACAAAAACAAGGAGTAACAAATAAAGTAACCATGGTAACTCATAGATCCTCATACCACATAGTCACTTTTCAACAACACGGTTGCCTGAAAAAGAATTACCAGTGTTGAAATACTGTTTTTCTTAAAAGGTCAACAACTATGATAATCTTTAATTAAATGACATTTCGTTACCGGATACAGTAAAAACAAAAACACATACTTCAAAACGTCGCCTTAAATACACTAGTAGTTAGCTGTTTTCCATAAGTATGTATTTTTTCTTTTAACTACTATAGGTCTAGTCTACGCAACTTCACAAGGTTAAGAGCAAAACAGTAGGACGTTAAACCCCATTTCATTTCATTTCATTTCAATGGGTCGCAACGCATATAATAATGTTATATGGGTGTATATAAACTGATTTACATTCACTAATTTGCGTTTTACTCTAATTTCAAATCAGTTATGCTCGGCAAAAAACGCCAGAAGTCTCAATCGAATGGCAATCTATAGTGTAAGGTAAATTCCAGTCTACATAGTATTTATTGCGCATGCTCTCCAGATATGGGTCACCGTTTGACATCACTCGGCAAACCTCAACAGATTCCAGTACCCTACATCTAATCTCGGCTGTATGACAAAGTCCGCCATTAGAACTACTTTCAAGTTCCCGGATTACAATGGCGTTGTCCATGACGACCAATGACGTCATTGATGACGACGTATTTGAAGAATGTTTTATCTTACAAAATGTTTTATCTTACAAAATTTTGAAGCTGTTTTTCTTTCAAGTTTATCCGATTTTCTTTAGACAAGGACAAATTTGCACGGAAATTTCTACACACTCTTCGAACGACGCAATTTTGAGAACTTCTTTCTAAACGCGGGCAAGTTTCCCCTTATAAGTAAACCGGTGCCGCATCGCAAATGTATAAGGCGTAGGTACATATCACTTACTGTCATACAGCCGAGGCTAGATGTAGGGTACCGGAATCTGCCGAGGTTTGCCGAGTGCTAGATGTAGGGTACCGGAATCTGCCGAGGTTTGCCGAGTGCTTTCGACATGACTTGTGGTATATGTCTAGCCTCGTTCCCTTGTTAAAAATGGGTCTGAACCGCATTATGGTACACGATTCATGTACCAATGGTAAAATGTTTATTTTGTTGTAAATATATTGGATATCAGAAGCTTATCTTTTCCCGGTAAGATGATAACTTAAATGTTGATTTAAATTAAATAATTCGTGTTTTGAATGTCAAAGACTTTGGATGATATTGACTATTGAGTTAATTAAATAAAGACTTAGCTACCGTAGCCTACTTTAAATAAAGTTAAAGTTAAATAAGGCAAGGCATATAGGCTAGCCATAAACACATACTTATGGAAGAACAATTACTGATTTATTTGGGCGACGTTTCGAAGAGTATTCTCTCAACGTTGAGAGAATACTCTTCGAAACAAAATTCGGTCAAAATTCATCTCATCATCGTCCAAGACTAACTAGTCGGTGTAGAAGTTTGGAGAGAGTTACGACGTTAAACTCCATTCACTTCATTAATTTATATCCTAATCCCGGAAAATGTTTATCGTTATAAACCTGAACATTATTTTTTTAAAAATAATAAAGTTATGACCTCAATGCCCTAAATCGAATTGTTGTCACCTGTATTTCTTGTTTCAGCTTTACGTTCAAATTATGCGGCCATATTGCTTTTTGTATGACGTTGCGTCGCTAAGGCCTACCGTGTTAAAAGTAAAACTATTGTTGACGTCATGACTATATGACGTCATAATGGAACTAAAGGACGTTCGCTGTATTAATTCACGTTTTTAACTTAAGTTAGGCAGATGATGATAGGTTATTGAATGTAGGAATCGAATAGAAACTATTAGTTATATAAATTTACGCATGTGTTTCTTGATTTGCTGATACATAATGTGCGTAGATAGGCCTAATAAGTATACGGTAATACCTATATGGGGCGTCAATTGGAACTTCATTGTCAACTAAAAATATCCTAAACTTTAGAAATATGACAAACTTGGTTTTATTTCTTTGGCAAACTTTTAATTGATGCTAAACTCCAAATATATATGACATGTAAACTTGATGTCAAATTTATATGATCAAATATATGACGTTCTTCTTTTATAGATGAAAAACTAAATAAATAAAATATGCGGAACTTTCTAAATACGCGCTTAGTTAGTCTCGGTTTACCGACCTTAGAAGTTTACTTTGTCTACGTCTTGTTATTCGAGTCTAGGAGACGTTGGGCCCCAAACTAGCGAGGCATTGGCGTCATAATATAGAGATGACGGTAACAGGTTATTGGATCCAAATTGAGTTCAACATCCTAACCCAAAGTTAAAAATAGACTCATTAATCGGCAATGTTGGACTCAACTTGGGTTCAATTTGCCCCAGACATTAGATGACGTTGATATAGTAGGTAGGAGCGGAAATGGGATGGACCATAGATAATACCGTATGACTGCCGACTCATGAATTCTCGACGTTATGTTGCGAAACGCGTGAAACGGCGAGAAAGGTGGTTGATCACTTCCGGTCTTCTGTTCTCGCTGTTTGTTTACTATAGGCCCAGTAGCGATATTTTTATTTAGCGCTTTCTTGTAGTTTAAATGTGGCATCATCTGGTTAAATGGAAACGAGAAATAGAAGGAATGTTTGAGGTAAGAATAAAAATGAATATCTTATAATTTTGATATTATATTGTATTATAAATAAGTATTACATTTCATGAAAATCTCGACACGTGTGTTGCCCATTTAAGGCAAAGTTTGACAGCTTTGACCTACTTTTAAAAATCGGCAAAATAGAGTTTTCAATTCATTAATTTGTAAAATAATACTTGCAGATCATTAATAAATCGTAAATACATAAAATACAGTTTGGTATGAATAATAACATTGCTGTGCTGGCTATATATAAGCTTTTAATTACACAATTTTTTAAAAAACCTTTGTATTTTCAGAAGAACTGTACTGCCTGGTAGCCTACCTGTCTTTTGTTTGCTACCTAGGGGCCTAGGGGAGTGCCAGCTTGTGAAGCAAATATATTTCATGTTGATTTATTGTGATACTGATAAATATTTGTATGTTTTATTTATGTTATTTACTTCTTTTCATAGTGTGTGTGTGTGTGTGTGTGGGGGTGGGTGGGGGGGAGGGGGTATAAATATTGAGACACTAGACACTAATATATTGATAAAGTATTTTATTTTATGTATCTATTTATTTATTTATATTTTTATTTATTTTTTTTTTTCATTTTTTTTTTGGGGGGGGGGGATATTATTATTTTCATTATTTTATTTGTTTTATTTTAATACTCAACAAGGGATTTCATTTAAATTGTTTGATTGTATTATATCATTATTGATTTTAATTTTGTATAGTTGAATTAAGCAGAATTATTTAATTTTATGTATTTCAAACATCAGAAAATAAACCATTCAAGCTATGTGTAATGTGTTTGTGTGGTTATGTTGATGGTTAAATAGGTTGAGAATTGAAGCCAAATGACCAATTTTCGCGAAAAAGGGATCTGCCAGTTGGTGTTACAGAATTCAGTCAATTTTGCTCCGATATTGATGAGGTTGGTTTTGTTACAATGCTGAGATGTATGGCTTTTCAGGAAATAACACGGTTCTGGAGAAAAATTAATATTTAAAAATAGCTGCCGGTCGATATGTAAGGATATGGGTTTTACTGTTCCATGTAATTAAATTAATCATTAAAAATATAACCTACAATTTTTGTTTCAATTAAATAAGTTAATCTTAACAATAATATTAGGTTGTTGCATTTTGTGATTTAAATAATTTAATCTTATCAGTTGAGGAAGAAAGAGTTGGTATTTCAATCTAATAAGGTGCCTATAAATTATATAATTATAATTTATTATAATTATGTAAAATTAACATTGTCTGATCCCTTTATTTAATAATACATTTATTAATTTATCCTAAAAGTATTGTTAATTAAAGATGCGTTTTTAAATGTTAAACAGGCATTATGTAAGTGCTAAATCTGCTTATTGCAGGTCTTTCTTTGGGCCTTAAATGTTATGTAAATTATCAATTAGACATTTATTAACAAGAAAAGACCATAATCAACTCTCGATGCCATCTGATTGCTCAGATTTTAAATAGATTAGAACGGTCTGGTGGTAAATTTTCAATATATTCAATTTGCATTATCTATTTTTGAAATGTTATAGTTAATAGCGAGAACGACCAGCTCTTTATCTAAATCTTACATAATTCCCCTTCAAATTTATGTCTATTGTTATTGTATTATTTTAATTTAGGACATAAAGAAATATATTTTGGTTCTCGCTTGGATGACGTGTTTTATTTTTTTTTTTTTTTTAAAAAAACCCTAACAAAACAGTCTTGTTAATTACTGTATGTAACTATTTTACCCCGGTTACACGAAGTAATTCTGTAAAAAAATTTGACTAGATCTATAGGCTAATTTGTCAAGTATGCAAACAAGTTAAATGTTAATGACATGAATGATATTGGATACCGTAATCATATATTCATATAAACAACATGATGAGATAAATGTAGTGCCTTGCAATTTTTAAAAACTCATCTGTTTCAAACAAGTTATAACTTAGAGCTAAAGACTTCGTGTAGGTATGTTTTGTCAAGCACTATGAACACAATTTTTGCAGAGTTTTGGCGCTATAGAAATGGACGTTCATTATATTTATTTATTTGGTTCTTCTGGAAAAATACATACATCTATTTAAACACCAAAAGTACTTGGCTGTTCTGTTCAAAAGCTTATAGTTCCAATTTTTTAAACAAAACACCTTTCACATGATTTAATTAGCTATTTATTTTTATATCGAAGCCCGAAGAACAGGAAATCAAATTGGTGTGGCCAACATTGAAATATCAGATATCAAGGATGAAGTTGCCTTTATCAAGTCTTGTAAATCTTTTAATGTACAGGATTCCTGGAAGCATCTATTTTAGAACAAAAATTCCTTTTCATTGATAACTTAAGCAATAATTCCTTTTTTATTTAATACTAATAGTGTTTTCTTTTTCCTTATATATAATTGTTATATCGACTGAAGCTAATTTAATTT